AATAGATCTAGGTTATTAATTCTAAGTTCTATATACTAGTATTTAAGTAGTGATATTTAAGACTTTAGGTTAGTTAATCTATTAATAGTATAGATTATAGTTTCTACTATATAGGGCTATAGCTCCTTAGGTAGCTTAGTATCGATAATTATTATTCTCTAAATATTATTAATATATCCTCTAAAATATTCTACTATATTATTAGGCTCTACTATATAGGGTAGTATAACTTTAAAAGTTATTCCCTTTTTAGTACCCTAAGTAATAAAGTTCTTAAATTCTATTCTACTATTAAGTCTCTAGATTCTAGGGTAATGCCTAGTCTAGAGTTTAATTTTTTTATAAAATACTTAAAGCTTAATAAATACTTCTCCTTTATTCGTAAGAGTCAGTCCCTTAAGGTATCTTATTATATTATTAAGGATAGGTATCTAATACTTTTTACTATTTAGGCCCTTAGGTTTTATAGGCTATATATCTATATAAAATTTCTATACTATATCCTAAACCCGAAATTATAGCTTATATAAGATCTATTTCTTAGATTTTCCTTAAAAATATACTTTATAGTTAAAGTATTCTATTCTATACTATTCTTTATTATTAAGTTCTTATACTTATTTTAGTATTAAAGTAAGTTTAGCTTTTCTAATATATCTAAGGTATCGGTATACCTTAAAGGTAGAAATTTTATTAACTAATCCTATTTCTTCTTTACTATCTAACTTATAGGATAAAACTTCTTTATATATATTATCTTCTTTAGGACTAATAAGGTATAGAACTCTGAGTGATATATTTATAACTCTAATAGTTTTTCTAGTACTATCTATAAGTTGCTTTATTCTTATATTATATAAGATATCCTATTCTTCTAGGAGTTTCTATATACCGAATAATTTACTATAACCTCTTAGGCTATAGTAACCCTTTATTAGGAAGGTATATATTATCCTATCTTTAAGACCTACTCTAATAAGGACCTCTCTATATCCTTCTATTACTACTCTATTACTAGAGTAGTCCTAGTAGGTATATACCGATTCTAGGTTATCCTCTTAATATATATAGAAATCTTCGAAGTCGTAGGTAAGTATTTTATCTAATCTAGTATTAATTAGCTAGCTATTAAAGCTATCTAAGTATCGAGCTATTACTATTATAGCTATATTACTTTATCCTTCGCTTTATAATATAATCGAGTAGTTCTATATATATAGGCTATAAGTCTAGTATACTAGTAGATCTTCTAATAGATAGGAATACTTTTAAGCTTTATATAGCCTAAAACTATAATAGATATATATCCTACTCTTATCTCTTTATATTCCTTCTTTCTTTTCCTTAATATACTTATAGATATCTTTACTAGGAGGTAGTTAGTTATAAAGTATTCTCTTCTTCTTAGGTTTATTAGATATACTTAAGTTATCCTTTAAAGATTTATTTTCTTAGCTTAAGGAGGTTTCGCTATTACCTCCCTTACTATCCCTCTTAGTACCTTATCCTCTATATCCTCTACTATAGTTATTACCCTATTCCCTTAAGGACTAGGTTATATTAGTAGTCCCCTCTCTATTAGAAACTACCTAGAGGCTCTTATAATATTAGTCTATCTTTTTAAGTATGATTTTCTTTAGTTTAATATTATTAATCTCCTTAATAATAAATTAAACCTTAGATATTTCCTTATCTAATTATTATAGAACTTATAATAGTATATAGAAAGGGTATAGTTAAATTTTAAATTATAAAAGAATATAGTATTATTTCTAGTATTCTATAATAAATTCCTTTATAGTATTAAAGTCCGCTTATTTTATTTTATTAAACTTTTTTATTTCGTTTAGTATATTTTCAGCCTTATTAGAGCCTTATACTATTAATATAATTTTATCGAATATTATATCGGTGAATTCTAGGAGGTATAAGAGGTTCTAGATTTATTCTTAGAGTATATCGTTAACCTAAATATAAAGCTAGCTAGCTACTATATATAACTAATACTCCTATCTATTAAATTTCGGGTTACCCTTAGTAGGGTAAGGTATACTACTATTAATAATATATTCTAGTCTTAATAGTATAAGAGTGAACTTAATAGGGATTACCTATCTATAAGGGTTTCTAGAATTATACTTAAGTGCTTTAACTTTCTATATTTTTATAGCTAAGATATTAGGTAGGTTAGTAGCCTGATTCTTCTTACTATATCTATTACCTAATAATATTATATTAGTCTAAGGTTAAGAGGTATTTCCTATCTCCTAAGATACGTTATTATTACCTAATAGTAAAAATTATAACTAATTATTCGGGTTATTATCCCTAGAGTCGATACTACTATTAGCTATACTAAGAGCTAGTATACTAATTCTATTATTATTAAGGCTTTACTAGGATTAAATCCGATTAGCAAGAAACGCGTGTTATATAGGTTAAGCGCTAGGAAGTAGGGTCTAGGAAAAAAGACTTAGGGTTAGAGGTTACTAGCGGTCCTTACTAGCTAGAGATAAGTGCTTATAACCTAATGGCGTATCTAACTACGTTATACCTGAAAAGGGAAAACAACTAGTATGGATTCGCTAAGATCTAATGGACGAGGAGAGAGAGAGAAAGAGAGGAAGAGGGAGCGGAGCTATCTAGTGATCTGGACCTACCTGGGTGACCGCCTTCCGGTCACCCAACAATATATTAATACTATTAACCGCGTTATCTAATACCTATATTAGACTAGGTTTTAGGCTATCGAATATAGGATTAGAAGAAATAACCTAACAAACGAGATATCAATAATATAACTAGCAGCTAAATCAGTGGTTTTTACTAGCGATATATCGTTTAGCGATAATAAAGACTGAAAAAGTTCAGAAGGATATATCTGCAAACTTTATAGTAGTCTAATCGACTGGAAAGTATCTAAATAAAAGACAGTTACCACTTTAACTACCGAAGCTAAGCTTCTAGCGCTTACTGAAGCTAGAAAAACAGTCTAATGGTAGCGCCGAGTCCTCTATATACTTGGATTTAAACCCTCACATATACTCTCGATTATATACGATAACTAATAGACCGTTGATCTATTAATAAAGGAAGGAGTGTTAATATATACAAAGCTTCGCTATATAGATATCAATAGATACTGGTTAAAACAGGAAGTTAACGCCGGACGGGTTAATGTGGATTAGATTCTAACTATAGAAATGCCCGCTAATAGTCTGACGAAAGCTTTACCCCGCTAGAAATAAGAACGGTTTAGGGAATTGCTTAGAATATCTGAGATTGGTCATCTGATTAGTTATGAAAACAGACGTTAATTAATTGAGACAGCTCTTAAAGCTCTAAATTGTGATCGCTTCAAAAGCTAGGGGGTATGTTAGAATCTAGGATGAATACTGTTATTTTTTATTCCTAATACAGTTAGGTCACGTGACTGACCAGGCTGGTATTTCTACAGAAAAACCAACTCAGGTGGTTTTTCGCCCGAAAAACCAGTCCCGCAGTTTTTCGCCCGAAAAACATCCTTTCATTTTGTTTTGTTTGTTTTGATTACTAAGTTGTCCACAAGATTGTCATATTTTAGGACTATTGTCATTTTTAGAGATTTAGAGAATTTATTGAGATTTTTCTGCCATATATACAATCGCCTTACCACCGTTTTTCCGTCATTCACATTTATATCACTTTATAACTACCTATTAAAATAATGCGGCAAAAACCCTAGAATTTAGAAATCAAATTCAATTATCGTGGGGGGCTGCAGCCAAATCGATTTAATTAAGCTAGGCTAACATGCTGTTTACGTCGATTTGGAAGAAAGCGACTATCTACGGCCATTTGCTGGATGTTTGGGCGTCAGGGCACGTGTTTCCACGTGATCTAGATCGGGCTTCAGCCCGTGACAATAAGAAACTATAGAGGCTATAGGCAAAATATATTAAGAGATTAGAAGTCGAGCAACGCACTAATTAGTAAGGAATATCGCTAAAGATGAGTTTAGAGCTAGATTAACAGTAAGTGATAGTTGACGGAAATGGGTATATAGATAGGTGGTCGGTCTCATCTAGGCTCGGATCTCTGCTTAGAGTCTCTCGGCCTGGCGCTACATGTGAATAGACTGCGACAATGCCCATTAGAGAGAAGACATTTTTAGCGTCATTAAGACATCCATGGGCACTCTGGGCGAAATGGATACTGCCAATATTTGGTTACGTACATAAATAGGCCTAATAAGGTAATTTCTACATTAATTTTGCATAGTGATGGGCGATGAGCCTCTAAATTCCAAAGGCCCATGGACGGGCAATGTCGCAGTCTACATAATACCAAGTTTACGGAGTGCAGCATAGCCTGCAACAGCGGGATTCTCGAAAGAGAATTGGACCTTACTATGGTAGGTGGACTTTTCCGAGTCACGGAAAAACACTTAACAAGGGCTTCCCTCCATGTGGGTGTCCGTTTCCCTTTTTTTGATGCTGATGCTGCTAACCAAGGTCAAAAACGTAACAAGTTACTAGCAACCTACCAAACAACTTGTTTACCGGTAATCGAAAGGGTTGACATTCTGCTACATAGATATCATGGCGTTCATCCGAGAAAATGTACAAAACTCAGGTTTAGTCAATAGTGCAGTGGATACGTATCTGAAAGAGTTAACTGCATCTAGTCTTCTAATTTCATTTAGTGGATAATACTATGGCACTACTGGTTGCTAACGTGTTAGCTCACCACCTGACCCTGTATCCCACCTCGCTATTCAAATGACCGAGGATAGATGGTGGAAATTGGTGCCACTAGGAACAAATTCTAGTTTTCTTCTCGTAACGAGGTGTCAGCCGATAGGAAAATGGATAGCGCAGAACTTGTTGCTGAATCGAAAATGTACCCACTCAAGCTGTGTGTAAAATATAAAAGCCCATCAATCTTCCTTCCATGCAGATTCTGGGTTATGTTTTTGAGGTAGTGCAAGCCATTGATCTACTCTGACAGGGCAGTTGAGCATGAGATTGCCTTTTTTTGTGGCCGCGGCCCTTCTGTGGCCCTGCCAGGTCAAGGCTACAGCCGTGTTTGCGCACTTTATGGTATATTGAGCTCCTATATTTCAATGATATACAAAGGCTAAGGGTTGACATGAATCAAGCTGATGAACGCCGAAAACTACACCACAGTCGACTGGCAAACAGACATCCAAGCAGCCAAAGATGCTCACCTTGATGCGTTTGCACTGAATATGGCTGTCGACTCTAGAATTGGTCAAATTCTGCCAACTGCTTTTGAAGTTGCTTCCGATTTGAAATTCTCACTGTTCTTCTCCTTCGACTATGCCGGAAATGGAGCTTGGAAAGCAGATGATGTGGCCGCGCTCTTGGAGGAATATACGGCCTCGACTTCGTATTACCTGCATAATGGCCAGTATCTTGTGTCAACATTTGAGGGACCCAACCAAGCAGAGGATTGGATTGATCTGAAGCAGAAATACAACGTCTTCTTCATACCTGATTGGTCGTCTATTGGTGCCAAACCAGCCTTGCAGTTAGGTGGCGGCGTGGCAGATGGTCTCTTCAGTTGGGCAGCTTGGCCGTGGGGCCCACAGGATATGGACACCTATACCGACGCCTCTTATTACCAATATCTGAATGGGTCTGGGACAAAGCCTTATATGATGGCTGTTTCGCCGTGGTTCTTTACCAATCTGCCTGGTTATGACAAGAATTGGCTTTGGAGAGGCGATGATCTGTGGTACGACCGCTGGGTGGAGGTTCTATACAATCAGCCAGAATTTGTGCAGATTATTTCTTGTGAGTTCATCCAAACTTATGTGGGATCCACATTTGTCTAATATTTCCAGGGAATGACTATGGCGAGTCTCACTATATTGGGCCGCTATACGACTACGCAATGGAAGCCTTCAAGATTGGTGAGGCCCCCAGTAATTTTGCCACCGACATGCCCCATGATGGTTGGAGAGTGTCATTGCCATTTTTAATCGACATGTATACGAAGGGGACGGCCAAAGTGACTGAAGAAAATCTCGTTACCTGGTATCGTCTCTCCCCTGGTACATCTTGTGATGGCGGAACCACAGGGAACACTGCCAGCCAACTGCAGATGGAATTTGAACCAAGTCAGATCGTGCAAGACCGGGTTTTCTACTCTGCTCTTATGGTAAAACCTGCAACTGTGACAGTCAGCATCGGCGGTGTCGTGCAGGAAGGCTCATGGTAGGGAATATCCCCATTCGAACTTATGCATCCGAGAGGTACTGACTTTCTGTACCAGGACCTGGGTTCCAGATGGTGAAGTCGGTATTTACCATGGCAGTGTTCCTTTCACGGGCACCGGAGAGGTTGTTGTGACCATCTCCCGTGATGGAAGTCAGCTTGCCCAAGTGAACGGCAGAGCCATCTCGTCCGCTTGTACGGATGGGCTGTTTAACGCTTGGGTTGGAAGTGCAACATCCCCCACCGCTGTTTCGGCACAGCCATCGTTGTCAATCTCGGAGCAGACCTGTGTCAATGGAACTGGAGCAAACAATTTCGATGGTCTCTGCGACTTCTCTTGCTCCTATGGCTACTGCCCAGTGACAGCATGTACGTGCCGGCAAATGGGTAAGCCAGTGAAAGCTCCAAACTCCACAGGCGTGGTTGGATACCCAATCGCCGGTGAGGATGCAAGTTATTCAGGCCTCTGCGCATTCAATTGCAACTTGGGGTATTGCCCGAGCTCAGCTTGCGGAACAGAGGAAGTCCCTCTTGTTGTCCCTACTACTTCCGACTTTGCACCCCCTGCATGTGTCGCAGGCACTGGATCCGGGGCTCTTACAGGCCTCTGTAGCTTCGCGTGCAACTACGGCTTTTGCCCAATGCATGCATGCAAGTGTACTGCCCAGGGTGGCTTGGTACCGGCCCCAGCCACTACAAACACTGAGGGTACTCCCGTTGAAGGGCTCGAAGACCATGGACTTTGCAATTTCGCATGTAGCCACGGGTACTGTCCTGAAGGTACCTGTGTCGAGTCTGGCAATGCGAGCTCCGGCGAGGTGTTCTTTTCTCCGGACATCTGGGATAGCAATGATCCCGAGATTCAATGCGTTCCACCATGCACGGTTATTTTACCTCCGTATCCTCTTGGCTCAAAGACAACTATTCGGTTTTCATCCATGGTTAGTTCGATCTGGACAAGGTCAGGCACTTCGACCGGCACAAAAACCACCATTCTCAGCGTACCATCACTGGTCACCGATGGGATTCCCTTCTGGCCCGTTGTTATCGGTGCGGATACAACCCCCACTGGGTTTTATCCCCTTCAAAGTTTCATGCCAGAATCGTCAGAGCTCGTTCTTTCGGGCGATGAAGCTCCCTTCTCCCCGGTTCCATCGGGCAGCGCTACCCCACTACCCGTCTTCCCAGGGACTTCTCACACTATCACAGTGCAGCCCCAGGCCACGAGTTCTGTGTCAACGGGCGCAAATGTCCCTTCTGTTACCTGGTCGAGTGGCACTCCAACTGAGACCTGTACTAGCGGCTGTGGTACCGATAGCTGCAAACTTTTTGGTGGATGCGACTCGAGCGACCCGGTAGATGATTGTGGTCTCTATGGCTGTGGAGGAGGGTGCAGCATTCAAAGCTGTGACCAGTCCTGCGGCTTGTCTTGCTCTACCGACCAACATCATATTGACTCTGACAGCACCGACAGTGGCAGCGGCACAGATGGTGGAAGCGCCAATGGCCAGCAGGCAAACCTCCCACTTGATTACGACGGGCCCGATGGTTCTTCCAACGGTGACTGGAACCCCACGCCCATCCGTGTCGAGGTCGCAACATCCATGACAAGCTCTATCTCCGCTGAATTTGCCAAAGCGACACCCATTCTTGAGTCCGCAGTGTCCAGCATGATAGCCTCCAAAACGATCCCTAGTGATCTGAAGAATTCTGCAAGCGCCACAGCTTCGTCCATCAAGGATACAATGGCAACCCATGTCAGCGATTTGGAAGCGAAAATCAAGGCTGCTGATCCCAACAACAGCGGCCTGGGGTGGTTTGGCAGTATATTGGACAACTTCAATAGTAACATCGACTCGGCCATCGATGCTATCAATGATGGAAGGGCAGAAATTAAATTGAGTTTAGGTATTTATGGTGCACAAAGTATGTCAAACCCTCAAGTTCTATTCGACTTCGTTGATCAAAGCGCGTGCTAACCAGTACATCCAAAACACAGCCGACGTGGAATTGATCAACCGAGAAATTCGAATCGAAGCCGGCGAAGACATCTGTGATTCCACCGCGGAAGGGGGCGGCAGCAGCAGTCACCCTAGCAGAAAGCGTGCCGCTCCACCATCCTGCGCTCCTTTTTACCAAGGAGATCCAGGCCAGGCGTCCAATGCTGCTGATATTCCTCAATGGACAGGTTGTGACACCCATCTTGGGTTCGAGTACGCAAGCACCGATTCCATCAAGGCCGCCATGACGCAGGGAATCAAGTACTTGCTCTCACCTGTCCAAGGGCCCCAGCGTCCCGGTCAAGGGCCGTGGCAGATTGCCACCAGGGCGATGTATCCTCATGCCTACGGCAACAGTGACGATATTTCTTTCACAAGCGATTGCGAAAACGCTGTAGCAGGCTATACTGATCTCATTGAGTTCCCTATCATGCCGGATGGGAGCGTTTTGGAGGCTGGAAAGAACGCTGGGAGAGGCGGTGTTCCTAATGTTGGTGTTCAGCGCGTTGTGTTCAAGGCCAAGGCGGAGAGGGATCCCTTCGCTGCCGACTGGAATTATATATTCTGTGGTGTCATGTCTCACTTCACGACTGAGAAGGTAAAAGTTGTCATCGGTGATGACGAGAGGTGGGTTTTGCCTTTCAAGCTCTGTCCAGCTACTTGTGCTTCTCATGCAGTTGGTGAGTGCAGTTGGCTCTGGAATTGAGAAAGGGGGTTTTGTTCACGACATCGGAGAAGGAAAGTCTCTACACTTTCAGATCAATCAATCAATCAATCAATCAATCAAAGTTCAATTAACCTGTTGCAGTCTAACTAGTTACGTATGACTATGCAGGCGCTTCATCCAACTGAAGTAAGAACTCGAGTCCTAACGCCGAATCCCAGAGTACAGATAGTAAGTAAAAGAGCGTGGAATCAGCCCATTCCTGTGACCTATAGGTCCTATAAATCCAAACCCATACCAAATCCCATATATAAGAAATTATTTAATGATTGCCTTAGAGTATACCTTCCTTCTTCTAACTCCTATATCCCACTTCTCGCTCTTACTTCTTACTCTTACTTCTTACTCTATCTCCTCCCTACCTTAGTTTTAATTAGTAGTAGTATTCTTAGTAGCCAGTTTATCAGTATAGTTATTATCCCTAGCTAAGTTTCTTATTCTATAGCTTCATTCTCGTTATTAGCTAATACCTATCGTCTTCTATACCTAGCTCTATTACCGTAAGGCCTACCGGTTTATTATTATCCTCGATCTTAATATATTAAAACTGCTAGAGAAGGCCTATTTGATATATAAATTTAACCATATAGCGGGTGGCCTATAGGTTTAAAATGATCTTATTATAATCTATCTCGATACTAAGATTATATAACTAGTCCTATAGTTTTATATATAGGATAATATACTATAGGTACTATATTAGGATATATTTTAGTATCTACGAGCCCTTATTATATAGATACTAGTCGGACTCTACTACCTTAATCTTAAATAAGAAGTATCTTAGTCTAATCTATATTATATATATCTAAATTAGGATTATATACTATAGCTTTATTAGTCCCTTATATAGTTAGAGTATCTTCTTATTTAGTACTTATACTAAGCGTTTTATTAGCCTAGAAGTCTTCTTATATTCCTACTACTATTCCTATTACTCTCTGATTTACTAATATACTACTCTCTTAGTAGCTATAGTAAAGTAGATAATTAGTTCTCCTATCCTACTCTTAGTTACAACTCCTATCCCTATACTAAGAAGTATAGTACTTTTTACTTCACTATTAGTATACTTATTACTATTTATACTAATATATATAGGGATCTACCTAATAGTAATAGTTATTAGATTTTAAGGGTTTTGCGATTAGATAGCTTATATATAGTTATATATTAGTCTAAGTATATATTAGCTAGATAGCTACTATAGATTTTAGACTACCTAGATAGTAGCCTAGCTATTAGAGAAAATAGTTACTTCTTAAGCCTATTCCTTCCTAGCTTTAGTAAGAACTATCTTAATACTATAGAGCTTAGTAATATATACTATAGACTAGGAATTAGTCCTAAGGTATCGTCTTTATAAGCTAACTCCTTATTAGAGACTAATTATTAATATACTAATATATCCTATAAGTCTACTCCTATCTATATATATTATTAAATCCTATTCTTATTAGTTATAGTAGATATCCTTATATAGGGTATTATAAGTTTTTAGGGTAGACTCCTAATTCTTAATATAGTATAGGAATGGTACCTCCTATAGAGTAAGTATAAATACTTATTTTTCCTCCTATTTCTCTCCTATTTATAATTATAATAGCTTCTTTTATAAGATTACCTTAGTTAGAGACTATCCTCTAAGTCTTCTTTATATTAGTTTCCTAGTATTTATTACTTTTATAACTATTAGGTATACCTACTACGGGCTAGTAAGGATTTAGATAGTAGTTTCTTTAATAACTTACTAGAGTTATAATTTAATTAGAAGGAGGAATAATTCTATATCTAATACTACTCCTACTATCCTATAGAATATTCTACTAATTAGGATTACTATATATTTCTAGATTTTTATTAGTTTATTAGTAAGCTTATTAAGGTCGCCTCTTAGTATTAACCTAGTAGCTAGATAGTACTATATAGATAGTCCCTATAGTATCTATAGGATAATAACTGCTTAGTATACCTTCTATATTATAATTAGTAATAATCCCTAAGTAGAACCTAAGATCCTACAGAGTACTTCTAGACTACTAGCTCCCTTTATAAGTATCTTCTTCTAGTATATAGTAAAGTTAAGGTATTTATTAAGCTATACCCTAAGGTATTTAGCTGTATTAGTTAGTATAAGAATTATTAGTATCTCACTAGGTATTATAACTAGTATACTATTATAACCTAATAGGTTATCTAGTATCTCCTAGATATCTATTACCTAGGCTAGTTATATAGTATTAGGTTTGATTTTTAGGTTAGTAAAGTATATTAGTTTAAACTTATTAGGTATAAATTTTGTAGTATATTTCTTAGCCTAAGAGCTTACCCTTTATAGGGCTTTCTCTAATACCTAGACGTTCTCTTTATAGCTTTTTAAGACTATAAGAATATATATATTATCTACCTAGCTATATACCTTACTCTCCCTATAGTATAGTCCCTATAATATATAGGTATAAACCAGCGGTATATTAAATAGGAGGAATAGGATTAGTAAGATTAGTAAGCCCTATAGGATACTAGTTAATATAGGAAATACCTTACTAAGATAGCTGTTTAGTAGCTTAATCTATATACTCTAGCTAGTAAGTAGGGACTATACCTAGGTAGTAAGTACTCCTAGTCCTAGCTATTATATATTAAATAGTAGTCTCTTATAAGAGACTATATTATATATACCAGCTATATCTAGGAATAATATACTTACCTTCTTACCTTCTCCCTATACCTAGTATATCTACCTAAGGATTAGCTAGATTATATAATTAATAGAGATCCCTTTCCTTCCTCTAAGATAAGTATCTAGGAGTAGTTTATATTCCTCTATAAGCTATATAATCTAGGTTATAATAATTGATTTAAGGATCTTACTGAGTATATTAAGTAGTATAACTAGTTAGTATAACTTTAGGACTTAGTAGTCTTATAGTCCTACCTTCTATAGTATAATAGTAATAGATATCTAGAAGTATAATAGGTTATATCCTACCTAGAGATATACCTTAAAAATAGTAGTAAGAAGGGGAATAAACCTCCCTTCTAATCTAGATTCTAAGCCTATCCCTACTAGGACCTACTATACTATATTTAGTAGTATATTATAACCTAGTACCTTATTTAGTAGTATTCTCCTAATTACCGCTTTTACCTTAGTAGTAGTAACTAGGGAAAGTTAAAACTACTCTTTCTAGCTAGAATTTATATTTTATTAGATATTAGAGAGGTCGGTAGCTAGTAGCTATAGAAAGAATACCTTATAGAGAAGGTTAACTTTCTCTATATCGCTTTCTATAGTTCTCCTTCTAGTAGCCTTTAGTACTAGTATTATACTACCTTATTACTAGCCTCTATTCCTAGCCTATTTCGCTACTCTCTATAGTCCTTAAGGGCCTTAATCTACTACCTCCTTAATAAAACTCTTAAAGCCTTATTAGAGAGTAGCCTTAATTACCTTTCCCTTCTAGTTCTTTACTAGTTTATATACCTACTAGTCCTCCTTACTATATATTATAAGATACTAACGATATATATAGTAAGAGTATTTAACTACCTTACTATATTCCTTTATCTAGGATAGGTTTACTTATAGGCTAGGATATACCTATAGAGTTAATTCCTATATACTATACTATATAATCTTAATTAGATGATTTACTATAGTATTAATTTACTAGGGGGTTATTAGTTATAGTAGAGAGGGACTAGGGAGGTTATTAGCTATAAAGAGGTCGAATTTCTTAATATCTATAGCCTTCTAGAGCTATCTCTTTATCTTAATAACTAGTATTATACCTATATTAAGTAGTATATAGATTAGGAGGTAGTCAGAGTCTATATAGTAATCTAAAGCTAGCTTATATATAACTAATCTCTCTATAAGAGCTAGTATACCGAATACTAGGTCGATTATCGTTTACTCCCTACTCTAATCTCTTATAATTATACTAGGCTTTAGCTAGAGGTCTAGGTTAGCCTTATTATATAGCTTAATTAATTTATCGGAGCCTAGGTCCTATATAGCCTAGATCCTACCCTATATAGGGTAGTATAGGTTAAAATTACTAGTAATTATAAGATATCTCTAGGTATTATATAGTAGGCTATTAAAGAGGTCCACTGTACTAGTAGTATTATACTTATTATATATATTAAAGAGGTAGACTTTACCTATTCCTATTTAAATCCTTACTTCCTAGTAGAACTTACTATAAATATAGTATATCTACCTAGTTAGTCTCTTAGAGATATATATATATACCCTTACTCTCCCCCTAGTCTCTGCGCTAGATAGGAAGAGTAGTTTATATATCTATTTTAGTAGGTAGTATATAATATTATTATATAGGTTTTCCTATAGTTCTTATACTATAATAATATCTACCTAGATAACCCCTAGCTTTACTAGGAAGTCTACTATAATAATATCTCTTAACTAATATATATTATATTAGATAATAGTAAGTAGTATATTATTTATTAGGGGTTATTTTAGTATATTTCTTAGTAAATTAGTAGGTTCTTCTCTCTTCCTAGAGATCTATCCTACTAGTAAATCTAACTAATAAGATAGACTTAGTAAAGCTAACTTGATTATTAAGTATATACTTGTTCTTACCCTAGGGGCCTAGTATATATACTATATTATATCTTAGTATACTAGTTTTAAAGATAGTCTCCTACTTATTAGCCCTCTACTTACTAGTTAGTATATACTTATTTCTACTAATCTATAAGAGTATAGATAGTTAGTACTTACTTACTAATACTACTAGTACTAATAATAATAGTAGATCTAGTAGTACTACTTCTTAGTCGGTACTAATATATATATTATCCCTAGCCTATTTCGGTATTATACCTAAGCTTACCTTAGGTATTAACCTAAGTAGTCCTTTACTCCTAGTTATAGCCGATAATATTATTAATATCCGGCTAGATACCCTATATCTTAGTAGCT